TGAATGTTGATTCGCAGGACGCGTGCATGACATGAGACGCTTACCCTACTCGATGCACTCGGTCTCGATCCTTTAAGAGTTTATGCAATGTCCTCAGTTTTTTTTGTAATGAATTGTATATTAAGAATTGGATTTTCGAGTTTTGAACATCGATAAACTATTGTTGCCTCAAAATAACCTAATAAAAACAAAACAAAATACAATAAAAAATGTATTTTACTTAAGTGACTAATTTAATATAACTTTATATCCATTCAATCCTATTTCAAATCTTAAAACGGCTTCTGTTCCTATGCACTTTTTCTCATGTTTGCCTTCTGTTAGACAGATTTTTCTTGTGCTTCGGTTGACGCAATTTAGGAACAGACGTTTTACAAGGACTATGTTTAGCGGATCTGCTCAACATAAGCGGACCTACATGATCATGTGTTAAACTTTTAAGATAGATGTGATCAACATAATTACTGATGATTGAATAATTCGAAAAAGAATGCTCTATAGCGAAGCATTCTTTTTTGAGAAATCCGTTACGGCGTCTTTCTCATATGAATAAAATTGCAAGCACAGTTAATTCTATTAGGACAGATAACTGTATGTTGGAAACACGTACACCAAAAATACTAAATAAAAAGTATTTCACAGAATTGCTATACGAGTCAAAAAAAATGAAAACAACACGTTATAAATTTAATGCGTCCGAAGCGCTTTTCTGGATTTACCTTCATCCGGAACGCTCAAAGCCGAATATTTGAAAGCCAAGGATGTATAAAACCGAAACAGTTGAAGAGCTATATAATAAAAAATGACCTAAAATAATAGCCAAAGTATGATCTACCCTTTCCTACAACAGTTTTATCTATTTTAGCCACATTCTTTCTTATGAAACAAAATTGGACTAAATCGTTCAATCTATCTATAAGTTATGAATTAGGAATACACGAATAAAGGTTCATGAAGGCCAATACTTTATACCTTGGCATGCCGAGGGGGTAATATTGTTTTTGAATTTGTGTAGTATCAACATCTGATGTACGTTGCTGTTAAAGTAGGTCGTTTCATATTGATTACATTAGTTACTTTGACACTGCGAAGACAGGTTTTGATACCTGATAGAATAAAGATTACTTATTTCAAAGAGATTTAGATTTTGTAGTGCGTTTAACAAAGTCAGCCGTTTAACGTTGTTTATAAACAATAAAGTGATTAGGGAATCTAGTATAGAGAAGGCCGATGTTGCTGTAATTCCGAAGGAACATATATAAACATATAAACACACTTATGATAAGTGTCGTTGGAGTATATGTGTTTCCTATATTAAGAAGTCTGTATGATATAATTAACACTCACACACAAAATATTGTTGAGGGTCATGACTGGCGGACAACAACACATGTGTCATAGTGGTTAATAAATTCATAATATATACCAGGATTAAAAGTTTTTACGCGAGAAGCGCGTTTCGTCTACAAAAAACTTACAAGTGACGCTCGAATCAAAAAAGTTAAAAAGGCCAAATAAAGTGCGACGTTGAAGCGCAGGTGCTTAGCAAAATTTGAGTCTTTGAAGATTAATTTAGCATGAGTGTTTATATACAGTCGTTATGTTTTAAAAATCCTAGCTTATATCAGCTTATGTAATTGTAATGAAAAAGAGAGGCAAAGGATACCAAAGGGACATTCAAATTCACAAGTCGAAAACAAACTGACAACGCCATGGCTAGAAAAGAAAAAGAAAAAGCCAAACAGACAAACAACAGTACACAAAACACAACATATAAAACCAAAGACTGAGCAACACAAACCCCACCAAAAACTGGGTGGAGACCTCAGGTCTCCGGAGGGGTAAATAGATCTTGCTCCATATGTGGCACCCGTCGTCTTGCTCATGTTAGTAAAAACCCGCTGATAAGTATAATTCGGTACGTCACATTCGGGGGGAAAGAGGACGGGTTGTAGTTACCACACTTGCAACATATCCGTTGTCATCAGTGAAACGGATATGCCATAACGGTCAACCAACTCGTGATGGCGTTCGTAAAATTTACGAAGGGGCGTTTTCAACTTCACCACTTGGAACTCTTGGTTTAATAGCTTCATTGTGAGCAGCAACCCTGGAATATCGTATCAACTGGGAGATATATAATCCGTATGCAGGCACTGCTGTTATGTTGCTACATAGAAATGGAAAGTTCATAATTGGGAAGCTGATATCATCTCTTTTGTCGTAAAGTTTTGTTTTCAACCGACCATTATTTTCAATTTCTAGATGTAAGTCAAGATATGAGGCAGACTTAACTGTATCTGTTGTATCCTTTATCTTAAGTTCGATGGGATAGATGCGTTCAACATAGTCACTAAATTTTGAATTATTTAGTGAGAGAACATAATCTTTATAGCGGAAAGTGAAGTTAAAGGATACTACTTCTCTTCTTTCTTCCTAAGAAGTTCCTGTATGAAGTCATTCTCATATGAATAAAGGAACAAGTCGGCAAGAAGAGGAGCACAGTTGGTTCCCAGTTGGTGAAAACACGTCCTCCAAACGTAACAAATATGTTGTCAATCAAGAAATCAAGCATCTTGATAATGCCAGTTTCAGAGATTTTTTTGTTTGAATCAGAGTGATTTTTTACAAAGTATGATTTATCCCTCCCTAAGACAAGAAACTTGTATCTACGTAGGCCATTCTTTTTGATGAAACAAAGCAGGACAAACTATTTCAATTTGTCAGTTAGTTTGGAATGAGGAATATTTGTGTAAAGTGTAGAAGGTCAAATGTTATAATACAATTGCAAGATGAAAGAGTCTTAGATAGTATGTACTCTAAAAGATCTTTGGATTTTTTAGTATCCACATCTGATTCACACCACCTCTAGAATAGGTATTTTTACAATAACTTTGAAGCCCGGCATTGTTTATGATAAAATTGATGTTCATAATTTAGAAAGGTTTCGTGGAGCACTTGGAAGACCCAGCAATATAACGTTTTTTGTAAGGACACTTATGTAGTTTAGGTATTCAATACAGTGAAGGAAGATCCAGTTCTTCATCTTTGGTTGAAATTTCAAAGAAACATAGAGCAGACCTATGATTATTTAGTGTCGTGGGGGTATAGGTTGAGTTTCCAAATGAATTATCAATACCTAATTCATTTATTAAACAGTTTACGTAATGTGATTTAAGCACAAAAACGATGTTGTTATTGGCTTTATCTGCGGAGACAACACTATATTTGTCATGGTGGTAGGACAGGTGTTTTGCAAAATTTGGGTCATTAAAGATTGATGTAGCATAGGTATTCATAGACCAATTCAGTGTTTTAATTCTGATTTGTATCAACGACCACACAGCGTAATCCATTCGGAAAGAGTATCTACGTCTTCTTTCTCGCGTTTAATCCATTGCCTGGCAAAATCCTCTACTGAATCCATCAGTATTTTGAAGTTGTGTTTCCAATTGATGGATTTAGGGTCACGATAGTTCGGGCCTTTGGATCTAATGTTGCAACTCCTTCGTTTAAAGTTGACAATAATAACTTTTTGACTCATCTGAGGCGCTTTCGAATTGTTTTTGCTCTCAACATTTTTACTACCATTTGTTTTCCGAACTTTATTTCGAGCGTACATGATTTAAATTATTCAGAATAGTGTGTCGTCATACCAAACTGTCGTACCATGGGCTTGTCTTTATATCCGCATCATTTATTATTTTGTCTTCACCATTTGCGTTTGTGATAAGTAGTTGAAAGACCATATCAGTAAGCAAATACATCAGGTTAAGGCTGATACTTCTTAGACATTTAAATATCTTTCGTAAGGAGTGAAGAATAATTGTTGATCACTATGAATTTGTTGTTGATGACATAAGAGTGATGCTTACGCAGTCCGCCCCCATCAACTTTATTTACTCGTTTGATTCCATACTCGGATTTATAAATTTATTCGAAATTGATACCCAAATGAATGAAAGTAAATGTGATGTAATTAAAAATATTAACGAGACAACAACCATACAAAAGACTAAACGGCATCTAGAGGTCAATAACAGGTAGACAAGTGTCTGTAGATTATGCCTTGGTTCTATCTCGCACAAAGTCTTAGAAAGTGGTGAATAGATTGAACAGTGAGCATCAGAGACCCACATGTCTTTAACACCGAATAGTCAACGCTTTGGTGTAGCTCTTAAGTCACAGTAGACGCTGCGACAAACAGAAGAAATTTAGGTGAGATTTTATATTATTTTGTTTATTTTGTTTATTATTGAAAAAAAAAATTCATACCAATTAATCAAGGAATTCAAAATGGCGGCCTCTCTTAGATACAGACTGGTACACCATGAATTTTTCACCCTCAAAATCAAAATATATGATGTCATCCAATCAAAAAAGTGAATACAAACGAGTAGCATTAGGATAATATTGCCTCATACAAAATGGTTGGTAATATTTTAGAATAGAAATAAGCAAAGAAGAGCAACTCTCAATTTCAACAACCGTTTTACAAGCATGTTAAACCTAAAATAAATCGAATTCATAATAACTATTTAATGGATATTATGTTTTTCCATCAGTATTTATATTTTCCACTCCTAATCTCTAGCAGACTTGATCATGCTACAAAAGAATATAGTTTTAGTATGCGTATACCCTCCTTTTTTTTTTAAACAAGAAAAGCGTAGCTTAAAAGTTCTAGATGGATAATATTTTTCTTATATGTACTAACAAAAGCATTTAAAACACAAACTTTAACGACTGATGCCATTATTTATATTTCATTGCATATTTATTTCCCTCACAGCAAATGAAGTGTAATCGGCGAGCATGATTGTGGCCCGCACCCCTTAATCTCCAGCAGAATTTACCCTGCTACAAAAGACAGCCAACCATAGTCTAGTTATGCGTATACCTTGTTTTTAAAACAAGGAGGGCGTAACTAATTTGTTATTGATGGATAATATCTTTCTTCGATGTACTCACAAAAGCATTTTTGAACAAAAACACTATAATGACTGTTTGGTGTTTTTATTAAATTTTACTACATATCTATTTCCCTCGTTACCCCTTAAAACCAATAGTCCTGTATTGTCCAAGAAAAGAAATTTAATGGAGCATTACATCTGTACACTGGTAAAACTGTGGTGGAACCCCTGTATCTGGATTCATCGTGTTGTACACTACTTGGATCATGTATTTTCCTTTCGTTGCTGTGTTTGGAATCATCATGGAAGTAGAATACAAAGACAAAGATGGTTCACCCATATCCATTATAGTTGCAGTAGCTGTTGCTGTGGAGGCATTGTCCATCATAAGGTTGACTTTAAAATTTCCAGGAGTAGGTTTTGAATAATGATCAAGATTCTTCTGAATGACAACTGTAACATTTTCTCCAGTTTTGTAGTAGGTTGGGTTCATTCCCGCCATTCGACCTCCACACGGTGAAGTAGTTAAACCGCAATCATTAGCACCTGCTTTGTTAATACCCATCATTGTACCTACAAAAACCAAAAAACTTAAGGCTTAATTAAAAATGTCCAATTCTATTCTCAAATGAGGTGTTGTATACATATAGACCACATCTACATTTTATGGATACTTGACTTGTCTGTCTTTGTAGTATATAGATTGATATGAATTAATAAGCAGAATACTTTTACATTCGTTCATGGCAACAACCGTCTGAATTGATATTCAGAAGTAAAGATAGCTAATATTTGATTTATACTATATATTATACATCGTCGTTGATTTTTTTTCAGAACATTGTATTGAGATTTATGTTTTAGACAAATTCGACGGATTTCACTAGCGGGACAGGAACTGCTAAATGAACATTTCCGGAACTCTTTAATTCATTTTTTTTGTGGGGTTAAATGTTGCTAAATATCTATGAAAGCTTGACATACTAAAGTTTGTCTTTTTATTCTATTCAAGGAGTATTTCTTACTTTTACTAAAGTTTTTTACTTTTTATTTTCCCCTTGCATCTTTTTGTAATGAGCAATATTTATTCTTGATATTTAACAGCAGTTATACAAAAGTATTACAGAATAGAGTAAAATAAAACTTAACCTAGGGAAAAGATAGAAAAATTGATTTTTGTTCAGCTGATCATATGCTGATGACAAAAAAAGAAGTGTTTTCCCAAAAACTGAACAAAATGAGGTCAGTTATAATTATCTCGTCATATTAACATGGTCAGTAAGTATTGAGCATATTTTAACTTTTTTCAATCCAGCTGGATTTTAGAGGAATGTTTATTGTATTGCATTCGAATATTAGTTTCCACAGAGCGTAAAACCCAAGCATATACAAACTTGCAAAGACTAATATTGGTAACTGTGTGTTTTAGTGTTTTCAAGTTGTGAATTTATCTTTATTATTTTTTTTTATTGTTTTAAAAGTGCAATGAAGGTACATGAAAAAAGATAGGAAGAATTGGCATGCGATATTTTCGTTGACATATCTTGCATGAAAAACACAATTAAAGATGAACGAGACATCATTAATGGTGCCCGGCTAGTAACACAAAAATAAAATAGAAAAAAGAAACAATCAAAAAGGCATGACAGCAGCATTTTAGCATGCCATCATTGCTAAACCAGAAATAGGTTGCTATATGTATTAAAATTAAATATGAAGTAATCAAAGATTTACCATTGTCAGACAATAAAAATTTTGTACAAGTAAAAATAACTCAGCAAATCATAAAAGATACCAGGCTTATAGTCTTGTACGACAGACGCCCGCTTCGTATAGAAAAGACTCGTCAGTGAGGCTCAAATTTAAAAAGTCAAAAGGCCTAAAAGAGTACAAAGTTGAAAATCATAGTTGTTATTATTAAAGTAAGTCATGCCCGATGTTTTACAATTACGTTAAGAAAAAAAAATCTGATTAAGATAAAAAATATTCATCACTTACCTCGCTGAGGAGGGCTTAATAAACACAAATGTGCCGAGCATGCTACAGCCAAACTACCGACAACTACAAACTGAAAGAAATTCATGTTGCAATGTTTGGTTTTTGTCTATGCTAAGCAAACGAACAAGCTTATATATAACATAAAACTAGTTTATCTCAGATATGATAAGGCATGATTGATAAAATTTTTCTACATTCCTTAAGTTACCTTGAAAATGTGAAGGACTTAATTATTTTGAAACTTTCTATAACCTATATATCCTACTACAAGTTTCAAGTTTCAAGTTTTTATTTTTCAAAGACCCCAACAGGGGCATGGGAATAGTAATTAACAACATATCCAGAAATCAACGCCACTTTGCTTATTTGAATACTATACTAAAGAAATCGGATACGGGTCACGGAAATTATATTGAAATGATAGGGAATTTTGAAAAAAAAAATGTCTGTTTTAACTTTAATTTAAGTGATAGACAGATTTCGGGGACAGAAAATAAATATACACAACAATATACACCATTTAAACGAAACATAATGACTGTCGTTGCAAAAATCAAGGTTCCTGAGCTATTTTAAAAATCGAAGCGAGAGGCTTTTAACATTGCAGTATAAAATACAGGCTAAATTTAAATGGCTGAAACGTCAAATTTGCAAACTTTGTGTTGAAAATTGGCTAAAAAGGTCATTACAAAAACAGGTTGCGGAGATGAAACTTGAAACTTGAATGTCCAAAGAATAAGCAAGTCCAAACCTTGTATGTGAAGTCGTTGAACTCTAGGTTCCCACGTAAAGTTAAAATGCACCTATTTCAAGAAGAACACGAAAAATTCACTAAATTCGCGTTCATTGTTTTGATTTTGACCGCCTGACAACTTTACGAAAATATCAGAGTGATTATAAACAAAGACTCTGTGACGGGCAACTTATAATATCCGTGTTTTAAAGATTTTAATGATATCAAGCCAGTCCAGTTCAAACTATTATCACGTGGTACAATTCTCATTTACATATTATGAATATTAATTAGCAAAAGTACTACTAATTTCTGGCTATGAAATTAATACGCAAATATAAGAAAGTAACAAAGTTATGCAGTAGACACTCTAGCTATTAACATATATTCATTAGAAGAAGTAATAAATTTTAAGGAAGATAGCTAAATTGAAATCTACAGAACATCAAATTTCTTCAAACCGCGATTACGTTTGACTGGAAATAAATGAGTATTGGGTTTATGTTTAAATACTTCAAATCCCATTGTTTTTTTTTATAAATTTCTCTGTTCTTATTTCATACTTGATTAGTTAATCATTTTATACTGATGATTAAAAGAGTTATTCCTTGATAGAGGATTGCTGCTCACAAGGGAGCTATTAAACCAAGAGTTCCAAATGGTGAAGTTGAAATCATCCCTTCGTAAATTTTACGGACGCCATCACGAGTTGGTTGACCGTTATGGAATAACCGTTTCACAGATGATATCGGATATGTTCCTTATGTCGTAACTACAATACCCTTCCCTTTTCACGAATGTGACCTACCGAATTAGACTATTTACCGGATTTGTAATAACATAAGCAACACGACGGGTGCCACATGTGGAGCAGGATCTGCTTACCCTTCCGGAGCACCTGAGATCACCCCCAGTTTTTAGTGGGGTTCGTGTTGCTTAGTCTTTAGTTTTCTATGTTGTGTCATCTGTACTATTATTTATCTATTTGTCTTTTTATTTTTGGCCATGGCGTTGTCAGTTTGTTTTCGATCTATGAGTTTGACTGTCCCTCTGGTATCTTTCGTCCCTATTCTATCTTGTAATTTATCATATCAAATGAAACAAAAGTGAAGAAATCATGGTTATACTAATACACGTGCAGTCCATGTCTGTCTATTTATGACTATATTTATTATGTTCCCATCTGAATTCTTTACAAGTCATGCAGACAGTTAAATGGCGTTCAGTCCCAAGATGCACACGATATGTTGATACGGTGTTTTATCCATTCATTGTTTATTGACTCTTATGAAACTTTTGTGATTCATATATACATTTATCCCATCAAACTTGAGATAAAGGATACACCAGATTCAGTTAAGATATAAATTGACAATGAGGGCCGGTTGAAAACAAAACTTTACGTCAAAAGAGAGGATTCAGCTTTTCAATTGTGACTTTTACATTTCTATGTAGCAACATTCCAGCAGCGCCTGCATATGGAGTATATATTTCCCAGTTAATACGATATTCCAGGGTTTGCATTTCCAATCATTATTTCCTTGATAGAAAGCAGAAAACTTCTAGCATCGGGAACATGGTACAACAAATTGGCTATTATCAGATCTTCGAAGAAGTATACGCAAAGAGATACAAATTATGGAACACGGACAAGTAACGCAGACAGAAAGTGATATTTCGACTTCAACCTTTTTTGCCGGTGCTAAATCACAAAGAAAACACAATTTCACTACTAGAAATGTACACCCGCATTTAACAGCTAAGCCGTGCATTTTCTGCAAAGATATTCATTCGCCTACCAATTCAGGCAATTGTCCGAAAATACTCGATTCAGAAAAACGCATCGCTATCATTAAACGTAACAATTTATGTTTCAACTGCCTCGGTACACATCGCATTGGGGAATGCAAATCGAAAAGCTCATGTCGTAACTGTAGTAAACGACACCACACAAGTTTATGTAGTGAAGTTGCACACACCGTGAACACTGACAAGAGAAGTAACAACCGTTTTACTGACACAAATAATACTGTAAACACTTGTAAGAATGAAAGTACGCCATCTACATCAAGTGTAGTAAATCTTGCCAAGAATACGAGAAACAAGAACTCTCCACAATTTTACACTCGTCAGCACAATTTCGCTCAAATGTACTGCTGAAAACCGCTGTGGATCCCGTTTGGTCAGATCGTCATAGCACAAATACGAACATTTTGTTTGATGAAGGCGCTCCAAAGTCTTTTGTAACGGAGAGTCTTGCGCGTAAACTGAACCTGCAAAGAGAAGAAGCCGATAATATTCAACTTTCTTCATTTGGAGAAACCAACATGAATTCTAGGTGACTTGATAACGCCACAGTATATGTTGAAACTGAAACTGGACATACAATCCCAATAGAGGTTTTAATCGTTCCTGCAATAGCTACGCCTTTACAGAACCTAATTCGTTACATTAACAGGAACAGTAACCATTTGACTAAAGCTCGCACATCCAGTTATGCAAAAGGATACCTTTGAAATTTCACTATTAATTAGAGCCGATTTTTATTGGGAAATAGTTGAGGATATAGATGTACGCGGAAACGGACCCACCACAATCAAATCAAACTAGGGTACTTACTTTCTGGACCGTTACATTCAGGAAAATCACAATTATCAACAGCGTCAAATATTTTCAATGTTCTTATTTCACATAAAACTGAGGAACACGACTTAGAAAGGTTTTGGAAGCTTAAAGATGTAGGAATTGAATCTAAAGAAGTGCACAAAAAAGAGAATGACTATATATAAAGTTACCAAGAATCTTCAGTTAGTTGAGTTTCGCGACAACAAATGTTTTGCAAAGTTACCTTGGAAACACGACAATGATTAAAGAGAAAATTCAACTTTTTATGGACTTTCGAAGAAAAGTGATCAAGCATATTTCTTTAAAAATGTGTGACCTGATGAATATGGACTGTTATGCAATTTTATTATATTAAAGTTATTATTATTTAGTTTATTATGTGAAAGATCTGTGAAAAATGTTTAGTTGAGAGACTTTAATTTGGATTTAATTTAATTTATATATATATATTGTATTTCAATTTTCTTTTCTGCGTAAAGTACTTTTTTGAGGCCCGAGAATGCCGAGAAGACCGCGGGACCGGCAAAGGTCCTGTTCACAAGGAAGAAAATTAATCAAGAGTTCTAATTGGTGAACTTGAAATCATTCCTTCGTAAATTTTACGGACGCCATCACGAGTTGGTTGACCGTTATGGAATATGACGACGGATATGTTCCAATTTTCGTAACCACAATTTCGCCCCTTTTTCCCGATATGTTACCTACCGAATTTGACTTATCACGGGGTTTGTACTAACATGAGCTAATGACGGGTGTGCCACATGTGGAGCAGGATATGCTTACCCTTCCTGGGCACCTGGTGTTGTCAGTTTATTTTCGATGAGTTTAAATGTCCCTTTGGTATTTTTCGCCGCTCTTTTTAGTATTACAGAATTTGACATTCTGACAATTCGTGTGGCATGAATTTGACAGCCATTACCGCATTAACAATCATACCGTCAAATAAAAAAAAAAAATCGAAAAAGTGTAAAAAAAATTGCAATCCTTCTGTTTTAAAAATAAGCTTCTTTGATCTTTATAATGAAATTACATAATTCTATAAGTTTTCCTTGATAGAGGGTTGCTGCGTACAAAGATATTTTTATCACTTAAGACATATTTATTTTTTTTGGATATGCAAAAGGGATCTAAGATGCCTTTACTTACCTTTTTAACATACACCGCTAATGATAATAATATGTGATAATCATTCTTGAAGAGTGATGTTCTGGGATACATATACTTTATTTTATCATTCATTGAAACTAATTTTACCCATATTTAAAGGTATCGAACGATACTCATGTTCTCACTGGTAAAAATTTGAAATACAAACAAACTATTTAAAAATGTGAACATATTGATCTTCAATGAAAAAATAGCTTTTTAACAAATTCCTGTCAACTAATACTAGTAAATGAACTTTAGTCTGAAACTAAAAAGATTTAGTCTTGCTAATTTAATTTTCAGATATTTTCTAGCAGTCAATTCAGTATTATCAAGCAACTTATTTCACAACAAGAATGTGTCCATAGTACACGGATGCCCAACTCGCACTATCATTTTCTATGTTCTGTTCAGTGGACCGTGAAATTGGAATAAAAATTCTAATTTGGCTTTAAAATTAGAAAGATCATATGATAGGGAACATGTGTATTAAGTTTCAAGTGGATTGGACTTCAACTTCATCAAAAACTACCTTGACCAAAAACTTTAACCTGAAGCGACCCAAAACTTTAACCTGAAGCAGGACAGTATCATTTTCTATGTTCCGTGGACCGTGAAATTGGGGTCAAAACTCTAATTTGGCATTAAAATTAGAAAGATCATATCATAGGGAACATGTGTACTAAGTTTCAAGTTGATTGGACTTCAACTCCATCAAAAACTACCTTAACCAAACACTTTAAACTGAAGCGACCAAAAACTTTAACCTGAAGCAGGACAGTATTATTTTCTATGTTCAGTGGACCGTGAACGTGGGGTCAAAACTCTAATTTGGCATTAAAATTAGAAAGATCATATCATAGGGAACATGTGTACTAAGTTTCAAGTTGATTGGACTTCAACTTCATTAAAAACTACCTTGACCAAAAACTGTAACCTGAAGCGGGACAGACGGACGAACGGACGGACGTACGAACGGACGCACAGACCGAAAAACATAATGCCCCTAGGTGGGGCATAAAAATCTTACGATAAAAAGTACTCGTCAGTCATGAACATTTCAGTATAGCTCACGATTATTTGTGAAAAGAGCCACATTAGTTTTTCAGACAATTCAGTTTGCTGTATTTATGTACAGGGAAACAACAACTACTCAACAGTCTGAACATTGACTGCAAGAGAAATATCTGAACAGTACTGAATTTACCACCGTGGTTAAGTTTTTTTAAATTCACTGAAAGACTGACCATGACTTAATAATTTATTGTTCAGTCTTTTAAGACCTGTTCAGATGATAATTATCGTTTCAGTTCAAAAAGGTTTACTATTGCAAATGCACCGGGTAGTTATCAAATATGACTTGACCAAAATCCGAACCATTTAGTGGCGAGTTAAAAACAGAAGGACCGACGAACAAGACTAAGTACTTGTACGAGTTCCATGTTCTAAATTTATTTTAATACTTGAAATAATTAGTTTATCTCTTGGTAAACACCTTTGACCTGAAATGACTCTTGAAAAATAGACCTTATAACTAGATCATATACATTTCTCAACTTTTCAACAAGAGAACTCTTGTACTAAGGCTCTAAATTTTCTCTGGGTAAAAAAGACCAATTTTTATGATCTTCATGTCCAAAATTCCGTACATGTGATTTCTGAATTCTTTGAGTTGATGAGATTTTTTATATGCCTGTACTGATAACGTTCATAAAACACAAGACCATTAACAATACAAAAGAATTGCAAATGTTTCATAACGCGACATCCATTTTATACGCCAAAACTTCTATGAAGAGATAGGGTCAGTTTCCCCTGGATTTATTTCAAACAAAGGCTATTTTCTCCAGTTCTCCAATCTTTACTTAAATATTCTGTATCATAGATTCATACATGCAGTTTAGGAATTAACTCCATTTTGCTTATGTTTAACATGTGACCAATTCATAAATGACTTAAGATGCTTCAAAACAGACGACATTGTTAACCAAAACACAAATTTTGTATGAAACTATTCAATTCTGTATATTTATTGTCTTTCAGATTTAAATGAAATAATTTTGGTTAACGACGTCCTTCGAAGCAAACTTTTTACAAAAACATGAGATTATTTTAAAATTGTCTTCAACAGCAATATGTAGAATTGAAATATATAAAACGGTTACATCTTTCATAAGTGTATACAATAGATTCCCCAATATTAAAATTCCTTCATAAGTTTCCAATTGTATTTATACATGTAAATCATGTAATCTTTTAGTTAGGATTTATCTGTTGTATAAAAATAAGAAGATGTGATATGATTGCCAATGAAACAACTCTTCACAAGATACCAACTGACAGAAATAAATCTGTTAGTTTTTCACAGTTTAAATTAATATTGACTGATTTAAAATATTTATAAAATGGCGTTACGAACTGACATCTCTATTTTGGTCCTGAATTGGATTCGATATAGGTTGTGCACATGCATTGATTAATATCGACAACCTCGATAATATACGAGGTTCAATAAGTAAATCCAAAATGTAGTACGGTGTATTTCACTGTATTTTATACATTGATTATCTATACAGGAGTCGCAGATTCAGGATTCAATTATACGAGACCACTGTTCGGTGTGGCGGGGATGTGGAAACAATTAATAACGCTGTAAATACTTCTAACCATCGCTTTAAAATGGCTCTTTGACATCTTTTTATAGTTATATACCATTGATTTCATTTAAGTACGGGATCATGATGTTTTACAACGGGATCTTCCTATTTGAGAAGGTATACACAGGCGTGCCGCTGCAATTGGTCACATTTCAATTAGTCAAATATATCAATGGGTTGCAATTCACCAAGGTAAAATGTCAATGGGTCAGTAATTTTCACCTTTCGATTATATATGGTGTTTTTATCCATTTCAAATAAAGATGTAAAAAATTAATTGAGAAATTCATGAATGGTTATGATTTTGCCATTAAACATTTTAATGGGTTGTGATAATCAATATAGGATATTTTTTGTATGGGGGAGGGGGGGGGGTCGAAATACCAGCTGCACGTCTGTATCCAATATCCCAAAAAAGACTCTCATGTGTTTCACCTTGCATACTACTCTTATGTTTTACAGGGCAATCAGGCTAACTTTCTGCAACAGATATATGATAACATGGGAAAGTTCAAACTGAATATGGACCGACAAACCAATAGAATGGCGCAATTCATGTAAACGGAGATAGAAATAAGACAAAAAAGCCACTCAATTTGAGCAGTAAATGTGCGTCGAACCACAGGCACGAACGTCGTATCTCTGTGAAAAAAAAATATACCTATATACATACGATACATGTCTATAGGAATATAATTTCAGAGACAAGTGACATGAGTTGTATAATCGTGCTGTCTGATTAAAGGACTGTCGGGTCATAGGACTGTCGAATTATGGGACAGTCGGATTATAGGTCTGACAAGAGCTAAATTAATAACGAGTCATCCCTACAATGGCTTCCATTTTCATGATAGAAAACATTCGGTTGGATAATGGGGAGATGTTTTTGAAGAAAAAAGAATCCTGACTGAACTAGGTAGAAAGCACAAACAAGTAAACTAAACGTGCTATACAGTTTGAAATCAGTTTTAAACACTAACATTATCTTAATAAAAAATCTAAATAAAAAAATAAACATCAGTATCAACTGTTTCGGTTCTTATACATCTCTGACTTTCAAATATTCGGCTTTGACCGTTCCTGATGAAGGTTAATCCAGAAAAGCGCTTCGGACGCATGAAATTAATAACGTTGTTTCATTTTTTACAGCACTGGTTCGATACCTCTGCTGGTGGACTATCAGTCCCCGAGGGTATCATCAGCTCAGTAGTCAGTACTTCGATACTGATATGGTTTATAACAAACCTTTCTAAAATTGTTCGTTTATACATTTTAAAATTATAAAGAAACTAAGGTTCAACTCCCTCAGGCAAAGCCACGGATTGGCTATTTTTTTAGGTCCTTTTGGTCATATAGCTCTTCGTCTGTTTCGGTTCTTATATATCCTTGGCTTCAAACATTCGGCTTTGAGCGTTGCTGATGAAGGTAATCTAGAGAAGCTCTTCGGACGCAGGAAGTTTATTACGTGTCGTTTTGATTTTTTTTTTTCTTAAACCAAAAAATGATTGTGTTTGTATTTGAGATATCATCAAGACTAATATGTGTCTACGTCACTTCATGCAATTGATTGATCATGAGGTAACATCTTTATTGCAGCATAACTGCACATTCCCGGAAATCATTGAAGCTAAGAAAACTTCGATGAACATTTTACTTGAACAATGAGTGTTGTAAAAGTTTAACTTTTGGCAAACAGGAAGTGACTGCACAGCAGGAAGCTAAGAAAACTTCGATGAACATTTTACTTGAACAATGAGTGTTGTAAAATTGTAACTTTTGGCAAACAGGAAGTGACTGCACGACAGTTGTTAAAATTAATAACACGTTACTGTTCAACATTATCAAGCTGCAGACCAAATATGAATTATTCCCTTTCATAGAAGCCCAGAAAAGATTGACGAAAATTGTCCTTGTTCTATGAGTGTTCAACTATCGACAAACATAGAGCGGAAACAGAAAGTGGCTGCACGGCGATTGTAAAAATTCCCTACACGCTACAACGCAATATTGTCAAGCAGCAGACCAAATATAAAATCAACCCCTTAAATAGAATCCAAGAAAAACTTTCCACGAAGGCTCTTTCGGACGGACAAACGGAATGACGGACAGAGTCGAGCGGTTACTAAACATGCTTTCGCCGTTTGCGACGCAGGTAAAAACGTAGAAGCAAAAGGACACAAAACAAAAAAGCACAACTTGAACGTAATAAGTTTTTTACAAGCATTTATAAAGCATGTTGACAAAACACACACAGTCACATTTGAACATACGAAACTAACAATCATAAAACATTTAGTTGTTTAACCCCCCTTCCCCAGAAGATAAATGATCGGTGTCTTAATTTTATTGCTGTAGTACAGAAATGATGAAAATGATAAATAAAGCATTTTCTAATTTTGTGCATTGGCTTATCACTTGTCCGTGAACCATCTATGATCTAACTTAAAGATAGAATTAAAGATTGATCATTTTGTCTGTTTGTCACGAATTTCAATTTCATGATAACATTGAAAGCTGTTTATAATTCAGTACTATTAGTGCAAAAGTCTGATAGGGAGTAAGCCGTAAAGTCAGGGCTTTTCCATACTTTCAGTGAGATTAATTGAAATAATTTAAATGAGAAAAGAAAAAATGAAAAGAAATTAGGATCGTGAAATGAGCTAACGTATCCATAAAATACATCTTTCTTCAATGAAATGTGAAGAATGTCTTTTCTTTGCTATACATTCGTTATAGTATACATTTAGAACACCCACGGGTACATGTATAAAGTTTCATTGACATCCATTCAATTATTTATAAGTTGTAGATAAATGTTCACATATCCATTATACAGTTTATGTGTGTGTTCATAAAAAACATATGTGTTCTAAAATCAAAAATAATATATATGCATGAAATATATATACATGTATTGATGAAATGAAACCGTTATTAAATTTAATCTATTTTCTTACATGTGTATATATATATATATATATATGGCCTTCCAAATACCGTTTCGATTCTTAACATCACTGAAGAGACATTAATTGTCGAAATCCGGATATGGTGTACTAATTTTGCACCTTTTGTTTGCGGTATACCATCTTTTCCGCAAGTTTATTGTTTTCTGTTTGGTATTAAATTAATAATCAAGATCCATTTTGTTACATCTTGTGATCCGTTTATTTGGCAATCGCCAATGGCAGTCAGCAGGTTTTAAGAACATCTGTTGTACGACCTGCTAGTCAAATGCGTTTTGTTAAAATATACTTTTTCACTTTTTTTGGTCTTTTGAAAAATGTTGCTTGTGCTGAATTTAGACCCCTCTATCAAGAAATTTGTTTTGCATGCACACGTATAAAAATTGCGGTTTTTATCCAACGCAATCATAGGTTTGAACGTTGTTTTCAATTTAGACTTATATATATATATATATATATGTTAATAGAATCATACGATATTCGATGTAACCTACGAAACTTATTGAATAATTATCTTTTATTCGTTATCAACATTTTTTTTTATATATTTCTTATATACATATTCTTTGTTTTATAAACATATAATTACTTTTATGAACAGATATCCATTTTTTTATGATTGCATATTTATTTACTATGTGCAAAAAAATTATTTTCAAGAATAATTGCAAATTTTGACGCGCCATACTTGGGCTGAATTCCTAAAAATGTCGAACATGTTTTTAATTTCAACATAAAGAATAAAGGAATATTTAGGAATATCGAAAACTTAAAATATTGAGAGTATTAAAACTGCAGTGCTGCACATTTAGATATTCGATTCCACAGATATGTAATCTTACATTCGCTTGAACTGTAAATTAGATATATCAATTTATCATACATACATCATATTTCATTGTTCTAAATAATTTGACACATTATCGATAAGATTATTGTTTCAAAACATATGCAAGTTTCTTTTGCAGATTTGCGTAAGCCTTCACTTTTCTACACTGACTTCTAGGAGATGGAAGGAAAAAGGAATTTTCCCGTGTTTTATTCAAATCGATTCTCTTTAAGGTTTCAGCAAATTTACAGTCAATCGTGTTTTGTCTCCCGTAGAGAAATTCTTTGGAAACGTCCAGTTTTGCAGATGATCTCGCAAACCCAACATTCGTATTGAAATATTGATAAGTAAGTCTGTCTTTATGCATGGAATAGTCTGCTTTTTGGGCGAAATACAGATCCATAATTATTTCATCAACCCGAGATGTTTGCAGTATTTTCTGTAAAAAATATCAAATATAATTAAGATTACATGCAAAACTATTTTTTAAAGGTTTAATGAATACATTGGATACATTTAACATATGTAAACTAATCATATCGTTGATGGATTTTTATCTGCAAATCATTTCGTAAAACCTGTTTACACATATTTTGTTATACCTTGTCCACACGCGCAAAAATTTATCCGACCTAATTCATATTACAATTATTTTTATCGGACTTTCACTTTTGTGACATAAGTACTTGCAATGCTAGAATTTTATAAGACAACCTTCTGTTTAGTATACATTCCATAAACATTAGATTGATAAATTGTTGTTTGCTAAACGTGCAGTGGCAAATATTATATGTTTATTTATGATAATAAACCATTAACAATAACTATAAAAGCCAGTGAAAAGTGTATCGGTCGGGACGAAAACAGGGTGGAAAATTTGGACTGCTACTACAACGAGGGTATGTTGGATAGGGATAGACACTTTCCCTTGCAGTAGACCACTTATGGATACCTCATACAGTTGTTACACAGACCTATACTATTTAAAAAGTGTGGGGATCGGACAAAACACCATCGTTCAAACTTCGACATGACTGCGTATTCATACATCCAACCACATCCAAAGAACATCCATAGGTTTTATTAGTGGACGGGAGAAGTCATGGATGACTATACTTCTATTATATACCCTTGTTAAACCCTAGGGTAATAAAAAAAATAGGAATCATACTTCTATATGGATTACAATTTTCTAAGTGAAAGCAGCTCTCCAGGCTAGTATTGGAATCATTTTCAATATTCCATTTTGGGGCAATTCAATTCATTCCTCAAAAATAAGTTCGAGTTATCTCCAGTTGTATAAAAATTAGTTATACTTTGAAGTGCTTGTGTGAAGAACACAATTTTATTTAAAAAAAATATCAACCGAAGTTCACCTATCGAATTAGACTATGTGATTATTGAAAGCCGTAATTACCAAATTGAAACTTTAAGATTAATGAAATCCTACCTTTTTTTCATGTATATACGAACGTTCCTTAAAGTCCTTCAATTGCACCCAAGAATTTTATTAAGAGATTTACTGATCATGCAAATACTTACTTCTGATACATACAATTTCTTATCTCCTTCGTTTATTGAGATATATATGTTAATCCCAACTCAGATTATTACACAGAATTTTAGATTCAACATATATAAATAAACTTTAATTTCAGATAACGACAACGTTTTGCTTAACAAAAACACAATTGTCACGTTTGTAATTACTAACTGAATAACCATAAATATAGCATGTGTATGTTGCGAACCTGATTGCACAAATATTAATAACATTTCTAAAGTTGTCCGAAGAGTAATAAAATAACATTGAAAATAATTCATTATCACATCTATGCTTCGAACCTGATTGCACTTATTACATATATTTATCTGAAAAGTATTAAAATAGCATTAACAATAATATTACTATATATATATTTATATAAACGCCTGAAAAGTTTACAAAACAACACCAATATCAAAAAAAGGAAACAATAAATGTAAGTATCTATAAATATTTCGGATAACAGATATCCTTCATCAGTATGATTATGATGTAAAATGAATCATGTCAATCTATTCTTATTTTCAGAATAGAATGACATGATTCATTTTACAAGAAAGATCGTTGACTAATATCTAGACGTTTTATATATATATATAATATATATATATATACATAATTACTCTAAATATCAGCACAACTATGTTAAAACTGCAAATTTGCAGAAGCAAATTTTTGTTCTTCCCTCGCCGGGATTCGAACTCATGCTATTGAGATATCGAAACAACACCGCCTGCACTGTATCCAGCGCTCTAGACCACTCGGCCACCTAGACTGAACTAAAAATTCAGCTTTCGGTGGCCTAGTGTTACCTTTCCTCGTCAGTAGAGTCTAGAGTTGTAACACAGTACATAATATATTAGGAATGAAGATGGAATTGATTGCAGATTAGCTAAATTATCTATCATAAAGGATCGTAAGATGCATTCACAGAAATAATTATATGATAAGTACGTCTAAACAAGTGACAACTCTACGACAGATCCATCCATTGGATCACCAGTGAAGGTGATACACGACTGAAAACACACATTATATTCATAATTACTCTAAATATCAGCACAACAATGTTAAATCTGCAAATTTGCGGAAGTATATATATATATATATACACGTCTAAACATGTGACAACTTTATGACAGACATTCTCCATCAGATAACACGTGGTTATACAGTGCTAACACCATAATATATACATAACTCGTCTCAAATTTAGCCCAACAATGTTAGATCTTCAAATTTGCGTTAGCAAATTTTTGTTCTTCCCTCAGTGGGATTCGAACCCTAGCTTATGTGACATCGTGGCAACACCGCCTGTACCGTGTCCAGCGCACTAGACCACTCGACCACCTAGGCTACATATAAATATAGCTTTCGGTGGTCGATGTAATGCCTTTCCTCGTCGGCTTTATCTAGGGTTGTAACACAGTACATGATGTATAGTGGCAAGTAGATGGTGTACCTTTCAGATCAGCTATTTTGTCTGTCGTAAAGGATGATAATGTAAATTACCATGCCGCCACATCAAATTTTAATTTTATTTTACACGTCTAAACATGTAACAACTTTATGACAGACATTCTCCATCGGATAACACGTGGTTATACAGGGCTAACACCATGATATATATATATAACTCGTCTCAAAAACTCAACAATGTTGATCTAACATATTATATATATATATATATATATATATATATATATATATATATATATATGTAAATTAAACAACAATATTACACGGTGATAACAAGATGCATTTGATTTGGCCAGAGATATAATAACACGCATCTATGCTATCCGTAATTATATATAGACATCTATTAAGTTGTGAATGAGAATAGTGAACAAGAAATGTACTAAATTCCAAGGTATGTAGAATTTGAACGATTGGCGAGTTTATAATGTTATAGTCATGACTGGTTACAATATAAAAATAAGGAGACTAGTTATGATTGCCAATGAGACAACTATCCACCAAAGTTCAAATAAAGTGGATGTAAGCAATTATAGGCAACCGTACGGCCTTCAAAAGTGAGAATTTTTGTTTGAATTAATGAAAGTGATGTGCTGAACCAGGTTTAACAGCCAAATTTCCTATGGCCGCTATTATCGCAGTCATTCCAGTTTTGAATAATTTAGCTGGGAGACATCCACGATGACGTGGGCGTGACTTATATTAGATTTAAGTTGATTTTCAAAATATTATTGACGTTGATACACGTATGTGAACTATTTCCTCCAATTTTAATTACTGTATTCCGTTGTCCGTGGACTCCAGCTTGATTATTTTAGACCAATTGAATTGTCTGTTAGGTCTATTGTAGTGCGTTGATATTTGAAATATGTGTCCTCCTCCCGGACGGGAAAAGTCCAGATTGACAGTTTCCTATTCCTTAGTCAACCCTTGGAGTAATAAAACCTTAGGTATTATACATACAATAGATAAGCGTTGATTTTTAAAAAAGAAACCATGAGTCCGGAGGCTAAACTAACGCCTTTTCTCAATTAGAAGGTATCGTAAGTGAATTTAAATAACCATGTTCAGCGATGCATGATAAATCAAAGTTCACAATATATTTGTTAGAGAAATACAAATATAACATAATACTGTCTAAATTATTATGCATCTGAATATTATCCGTAATTTACAAACTAAGACATATTCGAACTAATTTCTAAGTATATATAATAAGTATGTTACCGAAATTTCTAGCAAGAAACCTTATTCTAGGCACATCACGATTTACTCGCCTAGGGATTTGCGAATAAACGTTTGTAAAGATATGTAGTAAATAAAGGCAACAGTAGTATACCGGTGTTCAAAAGTCATAAATTGATTGAAAGAAAACAAATCCGGGTTACAAACTAAAACCGAGGGAAACACATCAATTATAAGAGGAAAACAAAGGAACACCAGGATTAAACAGATGAAATCATACTTTATTTTTTAAACAAAAATGGACAAATTGAATGAATGTAATCATTTTCCTTTCAAATACGTAAACCAGCCAACGATAATCCAAAAATAAACGCGTAAAACCGCTATTATTACAAAGATATCCATAATAACATACAAATTAAGAAAAACTACAGGATAGGGACAACAGAGAGAAAGCAGGAATTCGAACCTAAACTGACAGGTCTACTTCTAACTTGACTCTATAACTCATTGATCTAAACCTCGCGACTACCAACGTATACTATACGATTGTCTATTATGTGTATATAAAGCTACACGCCCTGCGTAACCGTTGCACCGAGTGCATCATATGTTCATTTATTTATATAAAATAGACAGTTTAATTGCTAACCATTGGTAGCCGAGAGGTTTTGTCGATGTGTTGATGTCAGTCATACATAACAGACTTCAAGGAGGGGTTCGATTCCCAGTGAAAGACATATAAAAATTACAAATTTTAAAGTTAAGTTTTTAAATCAATTCCATTAGTGAACAGAAATTAGTAAATTAGCCAATTCCAACTTAATGAAAATAGGCACACACAGGAAACAATTGAATATTATTTATTGAGTTCATTTCAGCGACAGATTTAGGAAGCGTTGATTCTAGGAAAAGAAACCATAGTAAATGAATAGGCTGACGTCACGGCAATGGTTTAATCATTGTAAAGCTATAGTAATTTCCTGGATCAAGATTTCAAAATATATAATTGGTGACCAGAAATTAATACAGTAAGCTACCACATCTTATTATTTCTATATAGATACTATTCAGTTAATGTCGTTACTTTACAATAATTATTAAGTCAACTTGTTATGGATCTTAATAGAGAAATTGATATACTGTTATATACATGTACTTTTGGCAAGATGAAATCGAAATATTCTTTCGTCAATATGAAAACGAAAAGGAATGGTCGTCTTGCAAGCAAGTTCCGTGAGGCATGGCCGTTCTTTTTTTCTAACTACAGAATTGACGACTCGTAATCGGGAGACTTTTTGATGACGCCGATTACTAGTATATGAAAGCATGCCAATACTCATTACTTATTATACGATGTGATTTATATGTTACTAGATGTTGTGCGTCCGGAGCATTTTAAATGTGTCAAATCCGATATCGGATATCGAACAATGAAGTTCTAGATACCAAAGTAGATAAATTGCAAGAACCTTATAAGTCTTGCTAAAACGTGCGAGCTTGATCGAAAGCCTAGATTGAAAAGTAAGGTGCGATATCTAGGATACATATTTTTTTTCTGAATTAATCCTGATGAAGCGAGAGGACCTATCAATTCAAATATAACAGAGATATTTAGTAAATCTGAAAGAAGAATTGTCATTACTAGAGAAAATCGCATAGCCTCATGTACTTAAAGAAAAGGTGAAATTAATTTAGAAAAATTAGAAGAATAAAAAAGCATTGTCCGAATGATTATGGAAACAATAATCTTGTTTCTAATAAAAAGTGATTAAGTAGATTCCATAGAATCAAATAGTTTATAGACTTAAAATATTAATAATAATGTTACATTTTAATCATGAATCACCGAAGCACTGTACACGGAACAGGAAGTACCATCGGCAAACCTGCAGCGGTACGATACGTGTTTTTCGAAAGACGAAAAATCACCAAATACGAAGCACCTTCCGAAGTACATGAGATCACCACTAGGTTTTTGGTGGGGTTCGCGTAGCTCAGTCTATTTTGTGTTTTGTAGAAAGACGAAAAATCACCAAATACGATGCACCTTTCGAAGTACATGAGATCACCACTAGGTTTTTGGTGGGGTTCGCGTAGCTCAGTCTATTTTGTGTTTTGTAGACTTGTTTGTCTTTTTTGCCATGGCAATGTTATTTTGTCTTCGAATCATGAATTTGAATATCCTTTCTGCATCTCTTATACAATTTAGAAACAATCATTTCGTCTTTTAAAAACTAGTTATTAAGTAGATTTGTTAGACTTTAGTACAATGTTTCATTCTAATTATGTCAAAACTGCATCACTGTCCAACTTTGGGAAAACCCTTGACGAGGTACGTTCGAGACAAAATGTACTCAAAATTTGTGCAAACATTGAATAAAACTTTTAAAAATATAAAGATTTAAAATAATTTACGTCATTTTTAATTATTGCTGTTAAACAATGAAATGTAAATAACCAAATTTACCTTATTCTCTTCAAACAAGAGAGTCCCATCCCCAAATTTGTAGTGAGATGAATCTTCTATATCATGCACATGATTTTCACAAGGTACGTGGTGAAGTCTTGTAAATTGACGTTGTAGTTTTGAAAGAGGAGGAAGATGTTCGTCATCTGTATCCCAATTTGTTACTCTTGTTAGTATTTGTTGATCATTTGAAGATCTTACATTTTTGACAGCTTTGTTTGTAGTGACTTTTGTTTCTTTTAATTCAAATGTTGGCACTGGAGTGCAATTTTTTAACGGATATATGTCTTTTGAGGTTATATTATCCCCACCCTCTCCGGGACTGCTATATTTTCTTTTCTCTGTAATTGTCGCATTTTCCTGTTGTCCCGTCTGTTTGCTTGAGCTATTTTTTTCTGACGAACTGTCAAAACTGTTTTTATCACTCATACATTTATCATTAGAATTTTCAGTTTCTGTCTCGTTCAAATTATTTGTCAATTGTTCCTCATTCATTCCATTAGCTATGAATGAACTGCTATCTGTGTTAGATATATTTCTCTTTTCTTTACCGATATGTTCTTCCATGACTTCGTTCGAAATTGTTTGAGGATTTTCTTTTTCGCTTTCTAATACTGCATCTGTCGAATTGTTTGAACTATACAACGCATCCTTCTTTACGGTGTTAGAGTCTGTTTCCTTTTGTTTTCTATCACATTCCTGGGTGTCACCAATAACTTGTTGTTGGGTGTTCTGAACACCATCTGTATGGATCAAGCTTCTGTTATTGTTATCTCCTTCTCTATCGTCATTAATATTCGCATCGTCGTCATTATTATTGCAACTGATCTGATGAACTTCTATATCTTGTTTAGCAGTTGTTTGCTCTTTATTATGTTTATTTTCGCTTTCACTTGCGAACTCAAGCGTCAGTTGACTTTTTCCTACAGCATTAGCATCGGAACAGCTTTCTCCTAGTAAATTTGGATTACCAAAAGCTCCATCATCTTTTACATCAGCAGTATCGACTGCGTTTTCGCTCTGGGTTTCGCTGTTATTTGTTATTCCGTTATCTTCGATATTATTTTCTTGCGGGACACTGAACTGTCTTTCAAGGGGATTAATTCTTTCGTTTGTCGTTACCGAGGATTCTGCGCAGTTGTCGGACTCCTTGCTATCAGTCCTGTTTATATTTTCTTCTGGAATGTCATTTTTGGAATTTTCGTCTTGACATGGTTTTATAACAACACCATCTGATCGTATCGATTTAACATTCGAATAAAGTTTTTTGTGTTTTCGAGTAGTTTTTTTTACCGTTGCCATGGAGTTTTCGCTTTGAATAGATTCCAAATCAGAAGTTTCTTTTGTTGTTTTCATTGCTTCTGAATAAGATTTTCTACTTTCCTCGAGTTCAGACGATTCTTTCCATTTAGAAATTGCTCCTATGACTTGTTCACTGAATAATTGTTCTTCTTGCACGTTTTTGATATAAGTCTGCATAAGAAGTTCAAAATCTTGGGTTCTTTTCTTTTTATCCTTTTCTTGATCTTTGACTCCTTGTAAACCGTTTGCAGGACCTGGTTTTAAAACAACCTATGAAAATAATTATCACCAATATAACAATGAATGGAAAAGACATGAACTATGAGGTATTCCACAATACTAAGAACTCGATTACCATGCAGAAGGTGTCTTACCTTATCTTGAATATAGAAGCATTTTATCCAAAAAACCTTATATAAAAATTGATATGGTGTAGCCTAAAATATACGATATAATCGAAATTACCCGTTATATTGCATGTTGGCTGCAGTATCTAACTTGGAAAAATTTATACATTATTGACTGTACTAAAAAGGGTATCTATTCATGTAAATAGCAACTATATCAATGGCGATTTTTTTGTCTCCTCTTAAATTTATAAAATTTGAATTAATCCATATCTGTAAAATTGCATGACAAACATGACATCAATAGTTTTGAATGGTGATCTATTTAAAAAACACTTAAAACTATATACTGCTTTAACTAATCCAATAATGGACGAGTTTCGGTCAAATGATTATTGATACATGTAATATTATACTGTTTCAGTATTGCACAAAAGCAGTAGAAACAAGTTCGAGAAAGGGATTGATTTGTTTTATAGAAAAGTAACATAAAACAGTTGATTCACATTACCTGAGTTTAAATGAAGTTTTTATATACTATATTATAGACGTACAACTCGTACTCATTGCCAATTTCAACTTTACTTTCTGTGTAGTTTTCTTGCAATTGTCTTATTGATTCCCTGTAATTGTCTTTTTGTAGTTTAATGTATATACAGTAGTGCTCAGAAGACGACATAAACTGGCGTGCTGAAATTATCTATTAGCTGAGTAAATCGCGATTCTCATTGGATATTGACAATAGTGGTCTTATGCTTGGGAAGATTACATTAGGACCCCCAAAAGAGTGGTTCAAAGTTAAATAGACGCCCTAGTCATTATTTGTACTTATGAACTGTAGAATGTCAAAATTATATTATACTTTGCTCTAAACGTTATATAGAAATATTAAACTTAAACCATTAAAAATACTCATGTCAACACCTCTATGAATTAGACAAAAAACATTAACTATTATACGAACACCATTTAACACTTTGATTCCTACGGTCTAAGGTTAAATATTTATCGCTCCCTGGAAAGGAAGACATGACACTGTGGGTAATTCTAAAGTCCTCGACTGCTTGGAATCTTTTTGCTATGGACATAGATATAGGAAGATGTGTTATGAGTGCCAATGAGACAACTCTCCGTCCAAGTTACAATTTATAAAAGTAAACCATTATAGGTCAAGGTACGGCCTTCAACACGGAGCATTGGCTCACACCGAACAGCAAGCTATAAAGGGCCCCAAAAAATTACTAGTGTAAAACCATTCAAACGGAAAAACCAACGGTCTAATCTATATAAAAACGAGAAACACGTATGAACTACATGAACAGACGACAACTACTGTAATCAGATTCCTGACCTGTGACACCTGAATGCAAAAACACAGTTAATAAAAAATTACAAGGGATAAATAATTAAAGTCAAAAGTAAATAAACAGGTTTAAAGTATGATATCACTGTGAAATGTCAAACAATTTTTAGAAAATCATCGCTTTTGAAGAAACCTGCGTCATATTATACACAAGTAAATGAAAATAATTTTGTTGTTAAGTATACTTCTTCTCTTGTGTGTATAAAATCTTCCGTTTAGGAATACCAAGAAATTTTCTTTAATATCAATAAACTAATCTAACACTTGGTACATATGGGGTGAATATCAACAATAAAACTATACAATTAGTGCTAGATAAAACTTCCTGTACAGGTCCAAGAACAGCATCTAAGGAAAAATGAAATAATTTTGATGTTCATAGTACGAAGAAGTGAAAATTTGCAGTAATACCAAATAATCAAAGCTGGTATATAGACAAGATCCATGATAACATTAAATAACCAAAAAGTATTACAAATAGTATCAACAGGTCAAATTAAAAAGAAAGTACGATTTGAGAGTACTCGCAGTTACTGACAGCTAGATAAAAGCCAAAACAATTAATAATAAAAAATCATGCATCAGAGACTAAAATCAACTAAAATACATCCCAGGGATTCAGTATTTTAACGTCATGAACAGTCAAAGAAGACACGACTTGTGCAATGTATGTTTTGTATCATAACTTCGGTACACATGTCATGCATTGATTGTTTAAGAATAAAACAAAAGAACTATATATGTTAGTCAATATTTACCAGATTTTGATACCGAAGACCTAAGACTTTGTATCACAAAGTATAAAAGTATATAATTTCTAGAAAACTTGCTGGGTTGTTAAATTACATTGATTGATTGTTGGTTGCTTAACGTCCAGTGGTGTTAAATTTCAAGATCCGTGTATGCTGGATCGAATTTTTCTGTTACCAAACTCACCATACAAACACACAGTCTTTTTCAAGTACTTCTCGGCTAGTTTGTCCTTAAACCACTCTTTTTGTCAATTTCCGATCATTCCCCCTCCCCTTGACAAAAAGTATCTTGATTTTCCAATGAATGTTTTAGTTGAAACAGTTGTAGTTATTTGACATTTATCATCTTCTGCACACGTTTACGAAGTTAAGCGGGAAATAACTTTCATCAAAAAGGCAACAAAGCAAGTCAACTGGTTCACTTAAACGCGTATTTGTTTTCAATGTCATTTATTCCTTCCAATCGCAGGCTTCAAACAGTCATATTAAACTAGTACGAATAAACAATTGAAAATGACTGTGTGTTTGTTTAGTAGATTAGTACGTCAACATATTATATCTGTCAAAAGTACGTAGTTTTTAAAATTTTTAACTATAATTGTTTATTAAAGATGTTAAAATAAAAACCCGACTTGATATATACAAAATGCAAATAAACGTAATTATACTTCAAATATTTGAAAGTTTAGGAATAACCAACATTAAGCGTTAGAACATGTACTCTTTGTGACGTCTTGCGTAACAAATTATAAGCATGGTATCTTTTATGAGTGTTTGTAGTTACCTCAGTATAACTCGTTCCAGTTGTGAAAATAACCCAATCTGTAAATGTAACACTAGTAAATCAATTTTAGTCTTAAACGGTCATTTTGATCTTGACATGAAAATTCAGAACAATATATTATTAAGTCATGTTCAGTCTTTCAGTCAGTTTTCAGATTTATCTACTGCGGTAAATTCAGACTGAAGGTCGTTTCTCGACATTGGCAAATTGAGCCTCAGAGAATAGTTATATGACAAAGACTTCGTTGTGTAATTAAAACGTAATGTTATTCAGATATATATGAATAGTGATTAATTGTGGTTGGAATATTTTCCAAAACTCTTAAACATATATTTGCATTTTATTTGTCTCTTGTCATTTCATTTAACTTCATTTGTATTGATTCTGTTATTACAGAGGTTATGTATTACTTAAAGATGCAGTTGAGCTTCACCGCCTGTTTCATACCTTGGCGGTTAGTTAATCATTTATAAATTTCATTAGAAATAGTTGGTTTCATTATTACAGATTTGTAAGGCAGGTTTATTGTCATATCTTTTCAATCTACTAGATGCCTATGTAAATGTTCCCTCTGTGGCAATTTTTTTTTCAAAACAGCAATTTTTGAAAAGAGAATGCATTGTGCTATGAATATGTAAATAACAATTCATGTCGTATCTAAGTTGTAATTAGAATCACATATTATATATTCAGACAGCTTCGTGTATCTCTTTATGAAATTGCGTTTATTATATGAGAAATGTAAGCGTTCTTATGTGTTTCGATCATTTGGGTACCACAGAGCTATTGATTTCTCACCAAAAAAAAACCTTCCGAATAGCAACCGTTATTAATGTTAAGGATGTTCGCTACTTTGTTTCAAAATTTCAAAATTAAAAGCTTTTTAAAAACTAAATTAAACTGATAGTGTATATATAACGGAACTAAAAAAGCAGAAAAAATGCAAGGTCCGTGTCTTTGTTTTTGAGATATAAGCCATTAACATTTTGGCGGGAATTGATTAACATTGGCACATTAATCTTTCAAAAGCAATGAAAAAAAACCAAGTATGTAATAAAGTTATGAAAAGAAATGTAGGAGTTAGCAGGCAAAATTTCTTAATGGGACCACATAATAAAACCAGAGGATTTCGAACAGCTGACAAAAAGTCTAAAACAAAATCAGCAAACACCCTTAATCAGTGATGTCGAATATATATATATATCACAGATAATGAAATTCTGTATTAATATTTATTTCTTTTAGATATGATGTTCAGATAACAATTTGGGTAAGAAAACCCCTTATTTATATGTAATATACATAAGACCGACAGGAACAATTTAAATCAACGACACCACGCGCGCCGTCATTGGTTTTGGGACATTTTTAGAAGGAAAACATTGCTTTATATTATACGTTTAATTCTTTTTTTCACAGTTTCATATGATGTGTCCTATATTAAAAGGTTTCAATGTGTACCCTAATGAAGTACAGAACATTATATATTTAATTTTATTGTTTTTATTTTATTTTGTATTGATTCTGCTTTAAAATAAAGTATCATCATGTGATAAACAAATTTTACTTTTTTAAATCAATATTCTGACGTCAACGTAATTATTGGAAAAGAAGAAAAACTATTGTTTTCCCCAGCATAGTAAAATATGCTTTAAATTATATTCGGCTTCAAATAATAATTGATAGAAACAGCCGAGAATAGCGTTTGACGTTGACTTCCGTACGAATTCCATTCCGATTTTGTAAGCTTGTGCCTTGCACACATTGTATGAAACGAAAACGTGTACATAAAAATGTCCTAATTTTTTTACCCTATTTTTTTAAAAATCTTTTCAAATTTATCTTTAGATTCATTATTCTAAACACCAATCTTGCTTTTAACTTTGAAATGTTTTTGTGTTATATGTTTTTAAACTTACAAAATCTGCATTTAAATCTTTTATTTACAGGAAATATGAATAAATATTCACGATATAGGTTCATTTCCCGGGTTAAAAACTATATATTGATGTTTGCACGTGGTT